GTATCATGAAATCTTCCAGTATTCTTCAGCACTCATGCATGTTTGCATTTCAGACAACGAGCATTTGATGTTTCGTGGTAATTCTTTGGCGACAAAAGCAATGGAAGCGTACATGAAGTTGGTTGCTGATGACTATTTGCAGGTTTGTGACTGCTTATACTTTTTGAAAATTTCTTCTTGATTCACATTTTAGTCTTGGAGGTAGTGGATGCTGAGAATTGCTAAGTTTAGTCTTTGTAGTATATAATTCTTTTATGGAACGGTTCAAATTATATTACTTTTTTACTGGATCTCCAGAGACAATATTGATATTAAGGACAAGGCGAAGTAATCGTAGGAGAACAAAAGAAGTTGTTATTTTTTGAATTTTGCTTGCAGGAGACACTGGGCGATTTTGTCAAAAGCGTGCTGGAATCTGATGAAAACTGCGAAGTAGACCCACTAAAGATGACAAGTGTTAATCCAGTAATGTTGGAAAAAAATAGGCGCAACCTAACGATTAACGTTGAAACTGCGTGGGGGAAAATTGTTAACAGGTATGGCTGGTTTAGAATTATATAATAATCGTTCAGAAAAGTTTTTTTATAACTTTGAAACTCTAAGTGCTTCAAGAAATCAATTAAGAACAGGTTTCTTAATGCTTTTTTTATTTCTCGGTTTTAATGGATTTTTTTTCAGTACCTGTTCATTCCCTATTGAATTAAGAGAGATCTTTGATTCGCTACGGAGACGTTTGGAACAGGGAAATAGACATGATTTGGCTGACACCTTAATTTCTTCTAGTATCTTTCTGCGATTCTTATGTCCAGCTATTTTAAGTCCAAGCTTATTTAATCTGGTAAGCTCTTTATCAAAAATTAGGCAGCTCTTTTTTAAAGTAATTTATAGTTTTTTATTCTAGAAATTTTGTCTTTTTTGCAACTAGTGGATTACAGGTCTCTGAATATCCGTCAGGTCGTGCAGCACGAAGTTTAACATTGATTGCCAAAACCCTTCAAAGTCTTGCTAATTTTACTAAATTTGGTGGGAAGGAGCATTATATGGAATTCATGAATGAATTTGTTGAACGGGAATGGAACAATATGCACACATATCTGATTCGCATATCTACACTGCCACAGCGTATTGATAAATACAACTCAACCAATAATTCAGACGCAGCGGTCGATCGGGGAAAAGAAATCGCGCTACTCTTCTCTTATTTAGATGAAGTTTGGACTAATGAGGTACAACCTTATAAGTCTAATGTAATTTGTAATAGCTTTTAAGGCTTTAGTAATTTTCTCGCGATTAAAAGTGGACGATTTCAGGCTGAAAGTCGAGCTGTTGCTAATGACCATCGCATGGACGGCCTGCGAAAAATACTGTCAAAAGTTTCGATGCGGTACTGTAGTGATTTGTCAGCGAATGATTTAAGAAACTCTGAATCTCATTCGAACTCTGATTATGACAACAGTGGTGTTCTAAAGTAAGCTGTAAACCTTACTTCGACTTAAAAACTAATTGACTCAAATGTATTTTTAAAATTTAACTTTTTCAATGCAGTGCTCCATCATATGGATTGAAAGGATCGGGACAGTTAAATCGTAGTACACCAGCTCCACATTTGAATACCAGTGATGATTATGTCCGTGACGAGGCTCTCAAGGATAGTATTGCTGTTCGTCAAGCAGGTCTGATTGTACAGCAACACCGACATGGGCAGCATAAAAACAATCGGCAGCTTGTTGATAGTTCTCCTCATGAAATTTATGGACAAAGGTATAGTTTTTGTCTGTAAGCTACCACTGGTGTTGTATATTACTCTTCAATTTTTATTTACAGTCTGTATTTTCTGAACTACAGCTGCTTTAGGAATCCGAGTGTTGTACATCATTTTAATACTGTTGATGATTCGCACGCTCATAGCATTTTTGCTAATTATCACATTGTCGATAGCAGTAGTGCTGCAACAACATCCTCCAGTATATCTAGAACGTCAACAAAGTCGTACAGCACTTCAACATCAAATCATCATCCAGATGACGACTCGGATTCTGATGATTTCCTCAGTGGTCAAATGCGGCAAACGCGGCCACCGAGAAAAAACAAAAAGCGTATAAACAACGTCAATGGAGCTGTGGAGAACGCTCCTCATGGAAAGTCTGTTGCGCCTCCTCCCCCTTCAAGCGGCTATCAGAGTCAGAATCACAGCAGCAGGTCCTTATTGATACTTTTTTATGTAGAGTACTTTTTTAAATTTTTTAAATAAAAAACGACTTGTAGTTTTTCGCTTTCTAGCTCTTCCAATAGCAGCAGTCCTGTAGAAAGAAGTTCTGTTACTGTTGCTGATGCTGTTAATCCGCATACTCCACTTAAAAACTACACCATTCACAATAACCTTCCCTCGACGTCGTCACCTCTCTGTTATCAAAGAGTACCAGAAGTTCGGTGCGCGACTGAAACTTCTCCATCGTCTACAGTTTCTAGTGGTGACAATACATTCAATTATTATCGATCTCATGTCTTTCCTAGTAATTATGACGCCAACAGTTATCATGAGTGCACTAAAACGTCTCAGCCAAGGTAGGTTTTATCAACTTATTGGTCTCTTTTTGTAATACTGTTAATTTTCTGAGGTGTATTTCTGTTTTGAGCACACTGATTATCTTATGTTATTAAAAAACCTCTTTTAATTACGGTAACGATTTGTTGACTGATGATAAGTTCGCGGAATTTAGAACTAATCCTCATTATGGCAGTCGATCAAATTGCGGGGCCGTGTCAAATATTGGTGTCGTGAAGCCAACTTTAATTGACATCAGTAACGACAACGAGACTGAATTAGTCACTGCAAAGCCTGTACGGTCTGGTGTTGTAATGGAGAGCATTAAGGAAACAAAAAGTAATGAAGACATTTGGGGAGCTGCTGAACAACGGCGGTCAAGGTAACTGAATATCAATTTTATGAACTACTCTCGAGGTGTTAAAGTTTTATAGTTTTAAACTTCAAGTACTATGCGTAAATTATTTACCACTTTATTGCTCAAGATTGTGACTGCTTAATTTATAGACATTCAGAACGATGGCCTGGACTTACGAGAGAAACAAGCTT